CTGCCCCGGCTGCCCCTCACTCGGCTTGCCCCGTGCCAGGTCACTTAAAAGTTAGCAATTAGGGCGCGTCTCCTGCGACGGTGCCCACTGGTACGGAGCCCTGCGAGAAAGCTGCAAATCAGCAAAGGTTTTTTTACACGAGGGGGAGAAACTTTCCAAACACTTGGAGGCGTTTGGCTCCCGCTTCGTCTTTCTCTCACCGCTCAGAAGCACAGGAGCAGCTGGGCTGGTGCCCCCTTAGCCCTGGGCAGGCATGCTGATAGCCAAGGAGGGAACTCCCTCCTCATCCTCCCGGTACCTGAGTGCATCAGCTCCGCCAGAGCTTGCCCTTGCAGCTGCTTGGCTTGCTTCTCCTCAAATTATTGCTTCCTGGGGGAACTGTCGACCCCTGACTGACACCTCCGGGTTGAAGGCTCTGTGCGGAGGTGCTGGCCAAAACATTGCCTGGTCCGGGGTGAGCTGCGCAGCCCTTTCCCGAAGGTGATGGGGAAGCTTCTCCTGCCGGAGCTGTCATTCCAGTAGAGGTCCTTGCTGGAGGATGGGGTGCTCTCTATCTGGAGCGCCTCGCAAGGGGCAGGGAGGGATGAGAAGAAGACCTCTTGGAAACCGAAGGGAACTTTCCTGTGGTAGATGTGTACCTAGAAGTGGAAAAAAAATCAGTTTATCAAAAGAAAAACATGTGTTGTTTCATGCTTTGCACTTTTTCTTCAACAACTTGCTGCTGGTTTTTACGAGTTTATTCAGTTTTCACATTTAAATCACCCTTTGGGGCGACAGATTGATCCGTAACTGCATCAGTGATACTTTGCTGCACGCTCTTCTGCTAGGACGTATCTGAGAAAAGAATATGTTACTCCTAGAAATATGAGCTCAGAAAATATCTACTGTTGTAGACATTGCGTTGTGCTGCCTGGGTAAAAGCCAGTTCAAGCCGCGCTGGTTTTCCCCTGCTGTTCAGTGTCCATACTGGAAGCACTGGAAGGTGGCGGCGTAGCTCTGGGAGAGGGGTTCATACGTAGACGGCAGCAAGCGTGGCAGAGTTCCTGCTCACGTGCTGCGGTCGGCCTGCTGGAGTTCTCCTTGCTTGTTTGTTTTCCTTCCAGGTTTGTACAAGAAGTCAGGAAAACTTGTGTTCCTGGGCTTGGATAACGCAGGCAAAACCACTCTGCTGCACATGCTGAAAGACGACAGGCTGGGGCAGCACGTCCCGACGCTACATCCCAGTAAGTCTGAGAGCGGCTGAGCCTCATGGCGTGGGGTTTCCCCCTTAATTTTGGGGATGCTGCGCTGAAAGGTGCCTCAGTGATAGTTCCGCCTTGAGTCTTAAAGCGGCGCACCTCAGGGCATGGCTGCGTCAGCCGCCCAAGCAGAGGTGCCTTTGCGTTTCCCTCTTGAGTATAAAAGGGAGAGCCCGAGACCTGCCGTGGTTCGAGTAATGCGACGTGCTTCTCCTGCAGGCGGGAGTGAGTTTCTAATGAAAAGTGTAATAATTGTGCTTAAGTGGAAAGGGAGGAGAAATTACCTTCTCCCGCTTGCGATTTTGTGAAACAGCTCCATTTCAGTGGCTCAGTTTTACCAGAGAATCCCTGAATTCTCCAGGATAACTTACACGAGGAGGGCGTGTGTGTGACGGTAACACAAGTCCCCAAGAAACTGCGGATGTGACGGTTGCCTTGTTTTCCTGCAACATAGCCCATATTTTTACTTTTCAGCATCAGAGGAGCTGACGATTGCTGGAATGACCTTTACGACTTTCGATCTGGGCGGACATGAACAAGGTAAAAGGGAAGTTGCTGAGTGGGAGGCAGCGAATGAGGTGAATTTTCTGATTCCTGTGCCGTTCTCCAGCCACCATCAGAAAAATCCACCAAAAAAGGGACACTGAACAGTGCTAGCAATTAGCAGGACCTAATTATTTATTGCCTGCAGTTATTTCTGGAGCAATACGTGAAAATAACCTCCTGGCTCTCACATACCAGTCGTTCAACACTTGCACTTAATTCTGGCAGTTTGGAAAAAAAATGCTGCTGGTTGACGCCCTGCTGCCTGAAATATTTTTAGCTGTGAAAGACTTTAATGTCGTAGGCTTATTCTTTTGAATAATTGCTGAATTCTTTTTTTCTTAGACTTTCTAGAAGTTCTAAGAAAAGGTTTTCTGCCCCTCACCTTTTTTTTTTCATGCCCAAAAATATTGGAAAAAAGAGACCCTGGCTAGAAAGGCAGCCTTGGTTGCCAAGGCTTACTTACGAAAGCAGAGAGCCTCAGCTGGTCCCTTCACCGGAAGGTCTTGGGTTGCCTTGAGGAAATGGTAACAAAGAGGGTGGCTCCTTTTTGGGTGTAGTTTTCCCATTGCTTCAGGTGGGTGGTGTTTGTCGCTTCTGTGTTCCAGCTCGCCGGGTCTGGAAGAACTACCTGCCAGCCATCAATGGGATCGTCTTCCTGGTGGACTGCGCAGATCACTCGCGTCTTATGGAATCCAAAGTTGAGCTTAATGTAAATTTGCTCCCTTTTTTCCTTCCCCAACACCTCCAAATAGCTAAATTATACATAATATTCTTCTTTTGCGGGGCTGGAACTTGCGCACAGTGCGTTTTGAGAGGCTCGTGCTTTGGATTGGCACTTCCAGCGTGCCTTTAGCGGCACCCAAAGCATGTGCTTGCAGAAATTTGCATGTTGCTTTATGCCAGGACCAGAGCAGTATGGATTTATTTTGGATTTATTTATTTATAAGTATGCTCTCCCAGAGCTGGAGAAGGTTTTTGACAGCTCGTGGATTTAGTTCTGAGAAACCTTTCTGGAGAGATGAATTCTCCACACCAAAACCAGCCCCCGTTGGTCACAGAGCTGAAACACAAATATTGTTCTTCAAACGATGAATGTTTGTTCTGCCTCTGCGTAACTGTTCTTCCATCTTGCATGCAGGCGCTAATGACAGACGAAACAATATCCAACGTGCCAATCCTTATCTTGGGTAACAAAATCGACAGACCAGAGGCCATCAGTGAGGAGAAACTGCGGGAGATCTTTGGGCTCTATGGACAGACCACGGGCAAGGTAGGGAGGCCAAATCTTGTTTCATCCACGAGCGAGGGAGGGCTCGCCTGTCTCATTGCAGAATGAGGCTCTACCCAGAAGCTATCTGAGGTGTTACTGTGAATTTGTCCACCATATTGGCCAAGCTGAATCATTAATAACACCCTCGGGCAAGTTTTGAAACCGCAAAACGCGTTACCTCTACAACAGCTGGGTGTCTAGCTGGTGTTTTAACACATTGTCTGGCTCTTCTGGTTCTGTTTCTCTGCGTTTCCGTCCAGTTACCCATCTCATAATTTTTTCAGTGTTTAAAACCAGTCAGGTTAGAGAGAATCGAGAAATGCTGGGTGGCGGTGGTAAAACAGCGCAAGGCTGCTCTTGGCACTAGCTTACCTGCCCAGTGACGATTGCTTCGCGCGTCACACTGCCGCGTGTCGCTGGTACATCAGGCTGTGCCTCGAAAACAGTTTGCTTCCCTATTTCCAGCACCCATTCTCCCGCACTGCTGGCTCTGAAAGTCGTGCTGGCTGGTCCTTCTCACGAAGGGGCTGGCACACGGCCAGGAGAGGGGAAGCTCCGCGGGCCAAGGGGGGTTTCCCGGACGGTGGTGATGGGATTGCCGGTTCCCCGAGGGTGGCAGGGACGCGGTGCTAACTCCTCTCTGGATTTCCCCAGGGAAACGTGCCACTGAAGGACCTGAACGCGCGCCCCATGGAGGTGTTCATGTGCAGCGTGCTGAAGCGGCAAGGCTACGGCGAAGGCTTCCGTTGGCTATCTCAGTACATTGACTGACATTTGGACGGACATAAGAGTTTTACTCCTCTGGACTGATCCTGTTCACAGCTTCCTGTGGACTTTTCTATTAGAACGTGGAAGGCTTTCCAGCCGCGTACTGGCATTGACCAAGAGACTCCTGGTTTTCGGCCGCCCTATCGCACAGTGGTGACACAACTCTTTTCCACGCGGCGGGGAGACAGCACCGTTCTGCACGTGGGTGCAAGTTGTCCCTTTCAGTTCGGTTACAGCGGGGCTGGTGTGATCTGGGAAGTAATACTCTGCGCGCTGCACTGTAACAGCTGAAAAAGAGAGCACGTCTCACCACTGTGGTTAATTGACTTAAAAAAAAAAAAAAAAAAAAAAAGAAAAAGCAATTCTATTTTTTAAAGAAAGTGTTAATGTAAACAGCGTCCCTTCTAACTTTTAGTTTAACGTTCATCTTGTTTAGTCCAGAGTTCTGGTTAGGGTTTTTTAAAAAATATATTTAACAATATTTAGATATTTCACAAATGGCTGAACTGAGGTATCACGGTATTAGAAGTCCTCAATAAACGTAGCGTTTGGGCGTAACCGAGCTGTAGGGTGGCTGTGCTGTGTCGCGCTGACCGACAACACAGCGGGCACTGGTGCGACCAACGGCTGCCATCCCAGCCGCCTTCCTTCACGGGGATTTCTGGTTTCGATGTCCGGTTCCCCCCAGCCACGGGGCCGGACTCTGGCGTTGAACCCTCTCCAGTGAGAACCACAAAGCCATTTGGGTCGTCGTGGTGTGGAAGCGTTTGGCGTTGGCATGTGGTGGGGTCGTTGGTGTCGGCTAAACCGCTTTCTTTTATACTCGATGGACTTTTTTTTTGTCTGATTTTTTCCTCTCTGAAGTTCCGTTCCTTCCTGGCCCTCGTTTTCGGTTCAATAAAGACGAGTCTGTCTCCGCCAAAGGGGTGGCCACGACCCTCACTGGTGAGCACCGCTG